TAATAAAAGGCTTGAACTATTTGAACTTCTTAGCTCCTTCATGATGACTGAACCTTCCCTTGCTGTACGTTGCATTCTCTGGTCTTCCTAACACATTCAAAGCCTTCACAGTGTGCAGGAACACGATTCTACAGATCCTGTTTCTTCTCTTTCCACCTTTCCTGCCCCCATCCCGTTCATGTTACTCAACGTTCTCATATTTTTTCCTCCCTGAATTACTGAAACAAGCCAGATACGCTGTCTTGGTGTGAAAAGACATAGGCAGAGGAGATGGTCCTGATTATCAATATTGGAGCTGGTTATACAATGCCAGAGAGGGAACAAACTGGAGAAGTTCTTGAATACAACAGTTTGTTTAGGATGCAGCTAAGGTGGAAGGGAAGTTCTGGAGTCTTTATTTGACTGGCTACAGTCTGGACAGATAATTTCCACAAAGGCAATGAAATTGAATAAAATAAATCTTTGACTGCTTTGTGTCTCACTCTGAATGAAAAAGATGTCCAATAAGGTTGTGCTGCTCAGTTGTATTGTCCCATCAAGGCAAAGGCCATTTCCCTTTATCAATTAGAAGTATGCCCATCATTTTAGAAAGCTGTCTAGTCTGCTGCGCTGTGAGGTTCCCTTCAGGTCGCCGTGCCACAAGGCCTGTGGCTGCTCAACATGCGAAACCATCAGCTGCGGTTGGCATGTTGGTATAAACGGACACCCATTTACAGGTCCAAGACACGTGTGCCCGCTCGTTACCCATGGAGGTTTAGCAGCCCTTTGTGAAGCAGGCGAACCCTCCCTCTGCAAGTGTCGATCCCACGGCAGTAGGCACACGGTTGGGTTAGGCCACCTCAGCGTCTGTGCGCCAGGTCCAGTTACCTCCTTCCTCAGCTCCACAGAAACTCACCTCCTGGGTGAGCTGCGTGAGAGTAGATCTTCCTAGTGGCTGACGCCATCCGTGGGCTCTGCCGTATTCATTTTAAAGCAGTCAAATGCTCGGCCTTATGGCCTGTGCCATTTCTCAGATCTTAACATAGCTATGTCTTACGTACTCCTCATTCACGTTAAATGTCAGGTTTTGTGGTGTGTCCTGGAAAACTTGCTGTTTATTCCAGCTTCGCTTCCAAATAGGATGTAGTCCTGACAAAGAAATAGCTTCCTGCATGTGATGATGCACGCAGATGTTGATGCAGGTCAGCCCCTCGCATGCTGAAGCAGCACAAGCCAAGTTGATCATGTTGCATCTCTTCCAATTCAGTTGCCTCCATTCACAGACACTGATTTTTTTTTTTTCTTCCCATATTGGAAGATTAGAATGCAAGACCTGTGAGTTGTTTTACTTGAGATTGCTTTTCTAGGCTGTTTTCAGTTGATTACAGCAGGGGAAAAAACCCAAACAACCCTAGACCCTTATTCGGTGCAAGACAGAAGTTTTATCTCTCAGACACCGAGTGGGGAGGGAGGGGAATAGTTTCTGAGCATTTCTTCTCCAGCAGCGCTGTAACTGTGAAGGACACTGCTGGAGCGCTGCCATTGTTCCTGTAATTTCATTTAGCTGTTGTTATTTTGACAGTAAACTGACAGTGATTTGCTGCAGCATGCGTCAATTGGATTTGTCTGCTGCAATAATGTATATAATAACAGGGCTTATTATTGATGAAACTGTGCTTGTGCTATTTAGTTTGCAAATGTCAGAGGTTTCTATGGTAATTTATTTAGGAAACCGTAAAGGTCATTTAAATGCTGCTGTTCAAAGATCAGCCTTCGATCACAGAAAATGTTCTCATTTTTTTTAAGAAGCCTCTTTTCTTTTTGGGTCATGAACAATTAATTAAATAAATGGTGTATTCTTTCCAGAAATTTACCTTATCTCATTCAGAAGTGGGGGGGAAGGAAGCTGTTTATAACACAGGTTTGGTGGTCCAATGTATTTGTTAGGCAAGGGGACAGTGGATGTTTGGAAGACAACATTTGCTGTTTGTATGTCCCAGGCTAGTGGGGGAAAACGATGCTGCTGTTAAAGTTTGAATAGTAAAAAGTGTATCTTCCTCATTTGCATGGCTTTTGCAACCTGTTCAGTAGGGGAAAGTATGTATTCCATGAAGGGAAGATACATAGGAGTTTAAAAATAAATTCTCTGTGTTCTTTTGACTTCCACCAACAGAGGCATAACTTGGAAGCTGAGATCTGAGTTAGGTGTTGGGAAGTGGGAGCTGTGTACCACCAACCCTTCTGCAGCTCCCTTTAGGAGCCTGAATTACCCCATGCACGTTCCGCTTTTCTCGTGCCCAGAATTTTGTGGTGTGAGGCATGGACTTGCTGTGGGCTGCATGTACCCACATCTCCATCCTGGATGTCTCGGTTGGAATTAGTGGACCCCTTTTGCCCTGTAAAATTGGCAGTTATAAATGAGTAGTCCTGGTAAAGCACTTTGAATTCCTTTCACTGAAGATTCAACAAATGCCAAATCCCTTAATGTTACCAGGCAGCACCAAATGAAAAAAGAAAACCTAATGGTGCTTAGAGAAACACTTCAAACATGTGTGTGTATATATATATATATCTATATTTGTAGTATTTTATGCATTTTGGAGTTCTATGCTGAAATCCTAGGATAGCCCATTAAAATGCTGCCGAGAATCTTTTAGGCTCTTGGACAGCCAAGAGCCCATGCCCGTGGCAGGGGGGCTGGAACTAGATGGTCTTTAAGGTCCCTTCCAACCCAAACCATTCTGTGATTCTGTGACAGGAGCGAGCGCAACCCTGTGCAAGCAGCTAAGAGCATCAGCAACTTTGACCTCGCTGGTGCGACTGCCACGGCTGGGCCTGACCCCCGCGGCGTTAGTGTTCGCAGGGCCGCGTCCTCAGCGCGTGCAGTTGAACGATGCCAGCATGGGTAGTGCCAGGTCATTTCACACAGCAAGCGTAGGGCAGGAGAAGGCAGCGTGACGGCAGTAATCCTCTGTACGCGTGGCAGGGTTTGTGTGTGGCTTTTTTCCTTCTGGAAGCACTGCTGAGTTCGGAGAGCAGCCAGCTGTTTAAGAACCATAGTATTGTTTTTAAACATAGGGGTCGTCAGTGTGACATAACCTGAAATTCAACTCTGCAGTAAGGAGCTAAAACATTTTGGCCTTTCTTATGAAGTGAGTGAAATGGAGCATTAGTGATTAAAAGGACCAATAAAAGCAATGCCTGTATGAGGAGGGGAAAGCCTTTATCAAATCAGAGAGCACTTTCTACCTTTTTTTCCTGTGTTTAAAATACAAAAAAGAACTTCGATTAACAGAGTGTTGTATGGGATAAACTACATGAATTCAATGTTAAACATATAAATTCTTGTTCCTTTGCCATGAATTCCTGTGGCACGTTGTCGACATTAGATAAATATGGTGCTTTAGCTGGATCAAACAGTTAACAATTAAAGAAATCATTCTCTGTATATACTAGTTTTTCCTGAGGTTCCAGACTTATGTTTATTAAAGATTGCTGTAGGAAGAGATCATTAAATACACTGTTTCAAACTGTAATTGTATTTTATTGCCCAGGCTGAAGATGAAATTGCTGTTGAATCTCTTTCTTGCCTTTCCAGATCACGTCTCCATTGGAGGGCTTGGGGATAGCTTCTATGAATATTTGCTCAAGGCATGGCTGATGTCGGACAAGACAGATGAAGAAGGCAAGAAAATGTATTATGATGCTGTTCAGGTAAATGAGATATTTGAATCTCCCTTTCCAATGGCAACAGTCAGGTCTCTCTGGCATTGGTGGAGAAAAGTATAAAATATGCAACAAAAAAATGCATCTACAAGGAGCTCTCAGAAGTTCAATTCTTTCTTCCTCAGTCTTCCCTAAATATATTCCTTTTGTCGCTTTTCCTTATATCCAGGAGGGAGTTCCTCTTGTGATTTGACCTCAGATTTCAGCCATTAGAGTATCCTGATTGTAGTCAACACCGGGATCCATACATTATGGTAGATAATTATCAATGAAAATAGAAGGTTTTGTTGCACGATGACTTTTTGTCACAAGAGACATAAATTTGCCAGCTTCTGTGAAACAGCCAGTTACTCAAACTGGGCACATGAGAGTGTCTTCAAAAAACAGAATTGTTCATACTTACATTTCTATGTGGTATTTTATTTATGATCCTTCTGGTCTGCAATTTGCTTTGTTATTGATGATTCTATTTCCTTAAGATGCTGGTTTGGGAGAAATAATGGGTCTGTGACACTACATGGAGACTTAAGAAGTATTTAGTTTAAATTCATATTTACAGACTTTCCTTCTAGTCTTGGGCAATAACCTATTTTCTTGGTTCTTCGCTTTCACAGATATATATATATAAATATAAATAAAGAGGATAATGCTGCTGCTTCTTTTTTTTTTCCCCCATCCTTTCATCTGTTTTGAGTGGGAGCTGTGCAGGGCCAGGACTCTTCTCTCTTATTATCTGTATGTATGTTCAGTTCCCCGGTAGACACGGCTTCGAGGTGCTAAGCACTGTCTGCTTATTCTTTCATACGTTTGGCAATGCGCTGTCCCTAGGGAAGAGGCATAAGTCTCTTTTTACTTCCCAGACTACAAAAAAGGGGTGACATTAGAAAAATACAACCCTGGCTCATTGTAATGGTCTTTTTTTTTTTTTCGTTAGAGAGAAAAGTCGTATGTGATGATTTGAGGGAGGGTGTGATCTCTGGTGGTAGTAAATTTGATGACCAAGTATCCTCTGCTAAGAAAATCCTGTCTTTAATTTCGTAAGTGCAGATTTGGATGCAGTCGGCCTCATTTTCTCCGCTAACGTAGTTTCAGCTTCAGAGCAAAAGGTGGATTTTAAATTAGGTTTGAGTGCATTTGAGGCTATAACATAAGAACAGTGATACTGTAATAGCTCAGCCTATTAGGTTGGCAGCCAAAAAGAGAGAACAAAGTGTCTGATAATACGATATCAATTCATCTTACAATGGAAGGCATTTTGAAGCACCTCAAAGGTGCTTCTAGTCTTCTACTTCCACTGGTTTCATAACGTCAGGTTTTTCTTTTAAATACATTCTTGCACAGGGTAAGCACTCGTGCACAGACGCACGCAATAAGAAATGTGCTTTTGCTAGCAGAGCTAGTCTGGAAAGCGCTGCAGGTAGGGCATCTTCAAAGTGGTGCGGCCATCGCCCCTGTCAGTGGCACCATGAGCACATTGCCTCCCGTCCTGCCCAGGAGCAGCAGGAGCACGTGGATCCCAGCCGGTAACAGAGGGGCTGAGAGAGCCCAGAGCCTCGGCGGCTGGGGCAGGGCTGCTCCTTCTAAGGCTGAAGGTGCCCCTTCCCCTGACTTGAGCACGGCTGAAGCAGGGTACATCGGGACATCCCACACGTGCCGTCCCGTGTCACCTGCACGCGGCACTGTGCCTGGCTGCCTGCTGAGCCAGCCCGGCCTGCCCAGCAGCAGGGCTGGGGTGGAGAGCTGGGCATCTGGGGAGAGGGCCAGGAGCGCTACAGGGTGTGTCCGTGCGGGGTGCAGCAGCACGGCTTTGTTTAAACTCACACCTTAGCTATACCGGGATCGCATCCTCCTCGGGTATGGAAGTTGTCACTGTTGTCCTGAGGTCCGGGTGGGGAGTAGAAGTGATGTCCAGCGCATGACACGGCCAATTCTTCCAGCTCAGGATCAAGCTGGGGGAGCGGAATTGCCTGGTCAGCAGCATCACCAAGTGCAGCAATATCAGTGACAGGGTCTGAGTTCTGCTGTTTGTAACTAGAGTTAAAAGTGCCTACTGTCTTAATATTTTCTATTAACAGCAGCTCTTCAGCAGTCCAAGCGTCATCTGTCCAGAAAATCAGTGTTTGGGAGGGCTGAGTGATGACTAAATATGTGCTAGATGTCACCATGCTTTTGGTTGAATGCTATTTCCAGTATTTTCTGAGCAGCAGTCTTCGTGTTGTCTGTCTCCTGTACGGAGGCACATCTGTGCCGAAGCTGAAAGTGTACACGCAGCGCGTGGCGGTACGGCTGGATGTTGCAATGTAGCTTGTTCAGAAAGCAGCAGGGAAGTTGCAGTCTCACAGAAGCTGCAGAGTGGTTGGGCCCCACTGAGCTGTTAGGTTCTTCACTGGAGTAACGAACCTGTTTTGAAATCCATCCTGAGATTGGCTTTATTGCTATCGATCCCTTACTTATCTAAATTAAAGCTAATTTAAGTGTCTGCACAAGCTGCTGTCTTTCTTTATGACTAAGCCTACATGGTTTGGGCATTCCGAGTCTGCTTCGTATTTTCATAGAGAAATTTCCCCTGACGCTTTCAGAATCTTTTTAAGACTAACGCCAAAGGGAACGGCATGATTATTCCTGGCCGTTCGATCCAGCACACACCCTCAGAACTCTGAAAGAGCGACGTGAAGGTTTGATGCCTAATTCAATATCTTCCGTTATCCAGAAACCGCAGATGAAAATACATGGGGAGTTAGAGTTTACTGTGGAAAGCTGAAATTTATTTAGATAAAGCTTTGGGGCTATTACTATGTTGTTCTGTAACTCGTATTAAAAACAACAAGTTCTTTCTATTAGAATTTTTGTAGCAGCTATAGATCAGTTTATGGCTTAAGTTAAAAGCAATAACTAAGATGTCAAACTAGATTTAAAAACTTTTTCTGTTCACCCTGAGTGAGATGCATATTTGGCTGATGCCATTTAAAGAAGAGTTTATTTCTAATGGGAAAAGGGGCAGCGATAGTCTGGTTTTGAATACCAGAGCATGATATGAAAGTGTTTGTAAGGCTGTCAGAGGGATTCATAAACTGTAGAATTTGCAAAAAAAGGCAGGTGAATGTGTTTTTAATGTAAGTTTTCTCTTTTGAAAAGCAGCGCACGCGTATCATGTCCTGTTTGACGTAATGCAGGAAGTAGGAGATCATCTTGAACTGGTTTCACTGGATATCATGCAACCTTTAGTCACAGAACAAACCTGTATTCAGATTTTAGTCATACTTTGAGGATGTAGCTGGCCGTCAGTCTCTGCAAGTATCCAGCACAGGAACCATCCCACTCTTGATCTCCGAGACACAACTGAGTAGGTTTAGTAAGAGAACATGGTAATTTAGAGCAAAAATGAGCCTTCTGTGACAGCGGTGTCACCAGCAACTGCATCAAATCCTCCCTCGTGAATGTGTCAGCCCTAATTTTCTAAGTTGAAGGGCAATTTTCCCACTACTCCTCTTAATAGGCTGTCTCACACTTGATGTCCGATGGCAAGGTATCTTTTCCAAATTTTCCCATTACATTTATTTATGGCCATTGTTGCAAGCTTTGTGCATCTGAAATAGTTCTTCTCTGTCTCTCTGACGCTGCCTTCATCCCCTCCTCGGTGTATTTCTCGAGAAGTGGCATATCTAAAGGCTGTAAAGAGAGCAGTAACTTGGCTCAGAAGAACTTCAGAGGAAGAGGGAGAATCCTTCCCCAGCACTTCCCAAGCTGCCCGGTTCAGTTCAGCCCACAGTGGCCCGGTGTATCAGAGGTGATGCTGCGGCAATTTGCAGTTTTACCTTTAGAGGGGGGAGTTTACTTTTAGACATTTAGGTTGTTTAATTTTTCTTACTGGGTGACAACAGCTCAGGAGACCGTAACAAGCGGACTAGCGATGTCTGGAGAACCTGGCAGCGGAAGTGGGGACAAGGGACACGGCCAACAGGAGGACAGGTGTTGTGGAAGCAGTGCCACGGACACAGCTCTCCCGAAAGTCAGCCTGCCGCTGGGCCGGGTGGTGCGAGTCAGGAACGCAGTAACCTTCTGTGGGTATCAAAAGAGGAAAAAGTAATTTTTTGGCCTCAGGGTTTTGAGTATTCAGGCAGAAAATATACAGAATCACTTTTAAATTTTTTCTTTTTTTTTTTTTCTTTGCGCGTTGCTGACTTTTGCGACTAGCCGTGATACACTCAGTTTGGACTCTGCCAAAGGAAGCTATGGGGTTTTGATTTTGTTTGAGGGTTTATTTTGGTATATTTGTCAGCATTAAGTCGTGAATATTTTTCCGAGCTGTCAAGATTTCAGCCTTTCAGATAAATAAAACAAATCCATGTAAATTCCTTTCTCATTGAAATGAGGGAGAGAACAAAGTGTTGTTAGCAAACTGAAAATATGATATTGGCAGATAGGCCCTTTTCATCTCCAGACTTTCACGAGGGTCTGTTTAACTGTGATGACAGTCTGGTGGCTGGTCTGTGCTGATTGCAGTTTCCATTAAGTTGCGTGAAGTGGTTGGCTTAGCGATCACAGTGATCTTAAAAACTGCATAAATGATGTGGACAGTGACAGAACTGCAGCGACTCAATTAGAATAGATTGTCATAGCGGGTAAAGCCAAAAGTATATTAATGAATTGAACATTCGATACTTGAGCACTTCTTGGCATTCAAGGAAAGACATAATAAGAAAAGTCTGCCTGGGCAAGCAGATCTTGAGGATGAAACATTTGGTGCAGTGGGCCAGCCCTCCCAATGCGTACATTCTGCTGGGGGGTACTGTCTATAGCTTAAATGTGTACAGATGAATAAACAGGAACTTTATTTACATATTTTGTCAGCTGTCGTGTTTCAAATATTTATCACCCAGCTGCACGGGTGTTCTGCACGGAGCGATAGGCTAGCTGCATTGTGTGGGAACGCAAGATTCATTACGCCGAGCGGAGAAGAACGTCCAGAGGACTCGCTGCTCCTTTTC